CATGAGGTCTCTCATGCATCTTAGCTCATTACGTCTCCTAACCTTCGATCCCTGGGTTTCTCCGATATCCTAGCTTCCTACATCTACTGACCTATGAGCTATATGAACTGTGCTATTCTGGGCCCTGAGGCGCCTTGTGAGATGTAAGTACTAAATCGGATTGAGCTCTCCTGAATTGTCCCCCTCAGAGCTAAACCTTCTGATCAGTTCACCAAGCTATTTGAATGCTATATCACATCAGATCGAAAGACATTGAGGAATGACAGAGAATTAATTTTCTCTGTATCTACGAATGGCAAATTGAACATTTAGCTAGTCTACTTAAATGGAATAAGATATTCCTTACTAGAGTTAGTATACGTGAAGGGAAAAGTGGGAAAAAGATAGTGAGCCATAGTCGTATGATGGGTTTTTTTTGTTCTCTTCTTGATAATATCATTTTGCAGGATATCAAGGTTAATATGGACAACCAAATATTTATTCCATAATCATTTTTTTTTTCTTTTGGTACAATGAACGGAGGCCGTAGCCTATGAAACCTCTAGATAGTAATGTTCCGTGGATGAACGATGCCTACGACATCGTGTACTAACCACGGCTTCGCTTCTAGTGGTGATCAAAGAATCTCTGGCACCCATTAGCAAATGAATGAGCTAATGTCGCCAAGCAATCTTCAGCAAAATTTGCTTCCCGGTAGCAATGCACAATATTCACTACCCATTCTCGCTTCAACAGTTCTTGTAAGGCACGGACTACTGCACCGTGCACCCCCCAACTCTCATCTGACGAACCCATAACCATGCGAACGACACTCTGGTTATCCACTTCCGCACTCACATTCCGATGTCCCAAATCCCAAGCTAACTGTAGTCCTTGAAGTAACCCCCAAAGCTCTGCTCCTGTAATAGTAGTGTACCTAATATTCATTGCGAATCCCCCAAGCCAGTGACCACCATCATCTCTCACGAGCCCTCCTGCCGTCGCCATGCCAGTGGACTTAATCAAGGAGCCGTCTGTATTTAGTTTAACCCATCCCGTCGGGCGTGCTCCACGCAATACAACATAGTTGTCTTCCCACACCCAACTCTCTTAATCTCTGCTCAACGGACACAACCATGTCGATGCTGCTAACCATTTTGCACCTCCTTAACTTTTTTTGGAACAACAAAGGCGCAATCAGTAAACAGGGCCTCATTATGGCCACTCCAGATTTTCCAAGTCGTAACTCCAAACAAAGTTTCCCAGCCCTCTACATGGACGTGCAACTGATTTTGTAGATTGAGCACCAGCCATTCTATGAGACTTAGGCTAAAAAATTTGATATGAAATTGAGTTGGTAGTAGTTGGCGCCAGACCTGTTCAGCTCCGGTACAATCCGAAATGCATGTAATGTGGATTCGTCCACCCGGCCACACAACGTGCAGATAGACGAGCCTGTTAAGTGGCGACGAGTCCTCTCCTTGTTTGTCAATAGCCTATCTTGTGCTGCAAGCCAAAGGAACTGCCGTACCCGTTGAGGGCCACCAATTGCCAAATAGACTTCCATAAAGTACGGTTAGTCGTCAGCTCCAATGGAAACAAAGAAGCATACACTGACTTCGTAGTAAAGCGGCCATTTTTCGAAAATCCCCTATTGATTTAATCATCCTCGTGTTGACGGTATGGGGGCAAAACCGACGATGCGCAGCAACATTCTAGTCGGCAAAATGTTTGCGAATAAGCTTCAATTCTAGGCCCTCGACTCACTCACAAAACTCGCCACCGGCAGCTCCCATTGGTCCTGCGGGATCGGACCTGTTGCCAAGGCATATAACGGCATTGACTGCTGAAACCATTTATCCCGCCAGAACCTCGCCCTCCTGCCATTTCCAATTGACCATCTGATCCCTTTTGAAAGCGCCGACCACACTTTTCTGATTGCCCGAAGCACCATGGAGCCCTTGGGAAAAATAAAATCATCCTCCATCGAATGGATAGTGAGCTTATATTTTGCCAATAGTAGTCGAACCCATAAGGTGTCCGGTTTTGTCAAAAGTGTCTAGCCCAATTTCATAATTAACGCCATATTCATCTCCATTTGTCGCTTCAAACCGAATCCTCCGGACTCTTTACTTTGACATACCGTCGCCCAAGGCATAAGGGGTATTTTACATTGGGTGCGACTTTCTCCCCACAAAAAGGTTCGACACCGTTTCTCCAGTTGCTGACAAATTGAGCCTGGAAGCCACGCCGTCTGCATGGTGTAATATGGGAGTGTGCTCACAACTGACTGAGTCAAGACACATCTCCCAGCCAAGGATAAGGAACTGGCCTTCCAACCCGCTAGCTGACTATCTACTTGTGCCACGATATTTTCATAGGTTTGTGAAGTGACACGGCCATGGATAAAGGGAACTCCAAGATACTTCCCAAGACAGTCTACCACATTAAACAGCATCAAATCAGCTAAGTGTTGATGGCGCTCCTGTGGGACATATTTCGAGAAAAATACAGTCGTTTTAGATTGACTTACTCTTAGGCCAGATTCGACGCAAAAGTCCTCAAGGACATTCTTGATTAAAGTCCCTTGGTCATCTGAAGCTTCAAGGAAAAGTAATAGATCGTCGGCGAACATTAAGTACAGAACCTGGACCTCCCTATGACCGACATGGATCAGTCTCCACAGACCATCGTTGACCCGATATTGGATCAAATGAGCAAGTCTCTCAATGAAAATCACAAATAAGTAGGGCGACATAGGGTCCCCTTGGCGCACACCTCGAGATGGTAGAAACACATCACTACTCTTCCCATTAAATTAGAGCTGCATGGAGGCTGAGATGACACAGGCCATTATAGTACGCACCATATTTCCTGGGAGCCCGAAAATTAGCAAAGAGTCTTCAATAAAGTCCCATCTCAAAAAGTCGTAGGCTTTTTCCAGATCTACTTTAATCACCATAAATCCCTTGCGACCTGTTTTGGTCCACATAGAATGAATGAGCTCTTGAGCGACCACTATATTATTCGTAATTTGGCACCCTAGAACAAAGCTCGACTGAGCGTGACCTATTAATCGAGGAAGAACTGGTTTGATTCTATTCACGAGTACCTTAGTAATGAGCTTGTAGACTACATTGAGGAGGCTAATCGACCAAAAATGGTGAGTCGATTCAGGGTTCTCAACCTTAGGGGATAATCACAAGAAGAGTTTTATTCAACTCCTCGGGCACAACCCCAGTCCTAAACACGCCCCAAATGAGATCACAGACTTTTGGTCCACCACTCTCCCATTGTCGTTGAAAGAACATCGCGTGGAGTCCATCGGGGCTTAGGGCTTTGAGTGGACGCATCTCGTTCAACGCATGCAGAATTTTCGAGTCTGCCACTTCACGTGTCATGGAACTCAAGAGCCGATCGTCAAGTAAAGGGAAAAAATTTGGTAGGTTCTTCAGTTGAGTATTCCCATCCACGGTATAAATCCCTCGAAAGTAATCTACCGCAATAGCTTTCATTTCATTCTGGTCAGCGGTCTGAATCCCATTCGAGTCGGTAAGGAACAATACTTTATTGCGACTACGAAGGTGTTTCACTCGACGATGGTAGTAAGTTGTGTTTCTATCTCCGAAATGTACCCAGTCCCTCATAGACTTCTAGAGCATTAATAATTCTTCTTGCAGAGAGACCTCCTTCAGTTTTTTGCGTAGAGTCGCTTCCAGATTAGTGAGTCATGGCGTAGTGTATTTTTGTAGCTCTCTTTGTGCTCCTGCTAATCTCTTAAGCAGCCTCTTCTTTCTAGAAAAGATATTCCCGAAAACATTAAAATTCCAATCGGATGCCTTTATTTGGAAGGAATGAGCGACTTCAAAATAATCGCTTCCAGCCCAAGATTGACGCACGAGGTCGGAGAACTCCTCATGCAATAGCCATGCAGCGAGAAACTTAAATGGTTTCCTGTTTTGTGCTGGAGCGTGATGTTCAACACATCGAACAAGGAGCAGGAAGTGGTCAGAGTTTGTGCGCGGGAGATGTTGAATTAATCCCAGTTGGAACTTGTTCATCCAGGCCGAGTTCGCGATGAAACGATCTAACTTCTGCTGCAAGCCACCACGTTCCCATGTGAATAAGAACCCATCAGTAAGAACCTCTTGAAGTTCGCATTCAAACAACCACTCTGAAAACTCTTGACTCATAGTAGCACAATTAGGGGCACCACCCCGTCTTTCAACCTGCCGGAGGATGCAGTTAAAGCCCCGCTTATAAGCCACGGATCATTGATTCTCGATGCCAAGTTTCGTAACTCCGGCCATAGCGAGTGCCGAGTTGCGGGTCTTGGGCTCGCATAAACAAAAGTGACAAAGACTTCCAATCCATCTTTCCTCACAAAGGTATGGATAAACTGCCGAACATTGCAGCACCTCAACATGCACTCTCTCTTTCCATAGTATCCATATTCCGCCGAAAAACCAGAGGTGTCGACTCGAACGGAACAATCAAAACCACTCCTTTAGATAAATTTATCGGCATTCATGCAGCTTATCCTGGGCTAAAAGATGGCAAATACATCCCGAAAATAGTGACTTTTAATGTTGGAGAAGGATCGGAAAAACATCTTCGAAGCAGCTCCTTAAACATTCCAAGCGATTACATTCATTATAAAACTAGGGAGAAAGTGGGGTGACACTCGTCAGATAGTGCTGGGAATCTGAGTGATCAAGGTTTTGTCCTCATTCATTACATCACCCTCTCCATCACGGTTTTCCTCAAGATGGTCTGGTCGAGTTCCGTCCGGCGGTTCTATTTGCATGGTGTCCCCGGGGTCAAGTAGTTCTACACCAACCCTATTCGGAGTTGATTGGGTTAGGGCTTCAATAATTTGGACGGCTCGATATTGTTGTGGTCCAAACCAGAAGTTACGGGTACTTCCACTTAGGATACATTCACCGAGATTAACTCATTCTCAGTACCTTTCGACAATCCATTAGCGTGGGCCTGAGCACCTCGGGGAACTTGCATGCACTTTAGGTTTTGAACCCCTGGAGCACCTTGGGATGATCCAAATGGAGAACAACATTGACATTGTCTTTACTCTTCCCATTTCCTCCTCTCACATTTCCCTTTCTCGAACCAACTACATGCCATTCGCTATTTTCCTTCTTGTTATCCTTCATTGAGTCCATTCTTTTTGTCAAATCCCGTCTCTCCTTCTTCCTTGTTTGGAACGATGTCTCAGGCGCATTGAAGACACTTTTCCCTTTATCACTTTCATTAAAGACATTCCCGTAGTCATCCCTACTGTTCTCCGATAGCACCGCGAATCTAGAACCGTTGCCCTGCACAGTCTCTCTTTGTTTCAGAGGGTTAGTCCCTGCAGCTCTTTTGTTTCGAGATTGAAGCCATCCCCCAGTGTTCGCCCTCATCCATGGGCCAAATTGTTGCTCACCCTCCTTGCCAGTACCCCCAGCCGCCTTAGGACCGCACCCACTCCTGACGATCGAACTCCGCCAGACGAGGCATCTGAAGTTCTCGTTCCTCGGGCCCATTCGCATTGGCTGCCGCTGGCCTACTTGGGCAAGTATAAGCCGTATGTCCACATATTCCACACGAGTAACATATGTCTAGTAACATCTCATATTGCATTTTGTGAAGTCTTCCTCGTATCGTGAAATGAGTACATAGAGGTTTTGTTAGATCTAGACAAACCGCTAATCGAGCATATTTCCCTCGGGATTGGTCGGCAGTCTGGTGGTCCATTTCCACTACCTTACCCACAATTCGGCCCACGTTGCGAAAATTTTTCTTATGGTAGAGGTGTATCGGCAGTCCCAGAAGTCGAATCCATGCAATCGTTGAGTTTATGTTATTGGACTCTCCATCAAAGGACTCTTCCCACGGCTGAATGTGAAGATAATGTTTACGGATAATCCAAGGTCCCCCTACTAGCTCGGAGATTGCGTCGTCGTGAGTGCGAAATTGAATCATGTAATAACCATTTTCAGCATCAGTTATAGGATTACCTTTCATAAACAAACAGATTTCCACAAGTTTAGCAGACAAAGTTGTCATTCGCATATTGAGCCCTAACAACTTGACAATCACAACATTACTGAATGCCTTAACTCGAGCATCAAAGAAACTATCCTTCATTTGGATGTCGGGAATGGGTTTCGCAAAATCCATCGTAACGTCTTCATCTAATTCGCCTTCCTTATCATCAGAATCAAGGACAACATGATTACGGTTTTTGTTCAAGGTAACTCAAAAACTCAAAGGTGGCGTAGGCAAAGTAGTCGGTAGTTGTTGTTGAGTGTGCAGAGGTCCTGGTCCACTGGGTCCAACCTTGGGATCCGGCAAATCTTCAGCGGTAGAATGTCTTTTCTTCAACAAACGTGATGCTTGGTTTGCTCTGTTGAGTTCCGGGAATGGATTCGATGGTTCTATGCGGGGTTCAACTAATTTCTCCGTGGTACTGGGAGAGAGCATTTCTTTCGAAAAAACCTTAGTTTTTTTCTTTCATTCCTTTTTTTCCTCTTAACTGTATCTTGATTCCATCATCAATTTCATTCTACATAAAAAAAACCCCCAAATCAACCAAATCCTCCTTCGGCCGAACACCTCACCTTCCCCCAGCAGGGCCACTCTGGGCCATCTCGGTGGCAGCCGTCACTGGGCCGTACGGCCAGCTTTCGAAGGCTTGTCGGACTAGCGGCTTCCTCTTCCATGGTGAGGTAGTGGGTCGCCCAAATTGGTTTTCGACTTTTATCTAGTCGCCACGGAGGGTATTTGGCTGGCGGTTCCCCAGTGGCTAAGTAGTGGCGAGTTTTTCGGCGAGCCTGAGACTAAGGGTTGTGGCGTCGATCATCTCTTCTAGTGGTGGTCGGGTTGAGATTAAACCGTTTCGCTTTCTTTCCTTCTCCCGATTTCTCTGCTTTTGGGCCTGTTGGTTGTATCGGCGGAGTTGAGTTGGGGTCGGATCTTGTGTCCTGGGCCTGGGTCGTCGGGGTTGGGATGGTGGAGCTTGTTTTTGTTGATTTCCGGTCGCAGGTATAGGGGTTGTCTATCCGGATAGGGCATGGTTTGTGGTCTTGATCAGGCGTTGATTCTGCAGTTTCTGGCTTCGTGACTTGAACCGGGTCTCTATCCATGTGGATGGCCACCAGTGGGTGTCGGCGTCGTTTTTGTTCGATTTTGATTCGCTACTGTGGAAATGGCTTTATTATAGTTATCTTTGTGTTTTTGATGTTTTGTTTGTTGTGTCGTAAGTGTGTGTCTGTGATTTTTTCTCCACTTTTGGAGTGTGTCTATTCTCCCGTTGGGGAGTGTGTAGGAGTTTGTATTCTTCCTGATATAGGATATTATACTGGACCGGTTTTAATGGATAAAATGGGAATATATTGAAGAATAAGCCTACATATGGCTAGGGCACGTGGCATGAGGCTATTGGGCAAGCCCAACTTGGGCCATAAGGTACACTCCTCTTATAAAAGGGGGCTAAGGTATCCCATTCACTCACTCTCTCTACATTCATAATTATACTCTTCAGATTTGGAGTGATTCTGACTTGAGCGTCGGAGGCCCGACGCCGGGACCCCTCCCGGCGTTGGGTTCTTGCAGGTCCGGTGGCCGTTCGAGTCGAAGGAGCCCGAGTGAAATCTTATTCACTTCATTGGCGCCGTCTGTGGGACCCGTTAAAAAAGTCAAACGGAGTTCCGACCGAAAAATTCGAGAAATCTTCTAACAAACTCCTTCTTCTCCACCGGCCGCCGCCACCACCGCCACCGCCGGCCGCCACCCTCGCCGTCGGCCGTCGAAAAACGTGCTCCGATCAGAAAATTCTTTACGTCATTGGATAGATCTCTTCGAGGTGAATCTCTCCTTAAATTTTCATGCGAAAATTCTTCCGGGAAGGCCGTCAATTTGGCCGGTCAAACTTTCCAGATCTAAGAAATTTTGGTCAAAATCGACCTTCGAATACATTTTGTCGGCGATCCGTGATAGCTATGAAAAATCCGAGGGTACCACCGGAATCCTCTCGACGAGGCGAATCTCCAAATATCAACCCTTGCCGGACGCCGCCTCCGCCGCCGCCGGACGCCGCCGCCGGATGCCGACCAAAGTGGTCCGATCTGAATAATATTTACGTCATCACGAAGCTTTGCTCGTGCTTGTTCCACCCTTAAAATATCAAACAAAAATTCCAATCGAAGGACCGTCAATTTGGCCAGTCAAAATCTTTGGATCTAGAAGAAATTCAGTCAAAATCCGGTCATCCTCTCCCTTTTCCCGTCGAATTCCGGCGAATCACTTTGAATCTAGGACACAATCGGATTAACCCCGTCGAGACGCACGTGTGGCAGGGTTTCTTAGCCGGAACTAAGGACGTCTTTCCGGCAGTTTTTTTTCGGCTATTTTCGCCGAGGCCTGGCGTGACCGAGCGCTCAGTCGGCAGTCTGCGAGCAGCCCGTCGTGGGCCCAGCGCAGCTCCAGTCCGGCGCGTGTGGAAGCCCAAGGCATCCGTGCAGCCCGCATCCAGAAACAGTGGTGGCCCATCGTGCGGCCCAAAGTAGGAAGCCCGTTAGACGTCGCGCGGCCCATAGGAACAGGCCCAAAACCCATGGGAGAGCTGCTCCAGCTCGCGGGCCGCGTCCAGCTCGCGCGGCCCGATCCTCGCAGACAGTCTGGCCCGCGAAGCCCGCTCTCGGCCCGCGCTCAGCCCATGCCCCAGAACAGCCCCAGCCCGCGTGGAAGCCAATTTCAGCCTGCGTTTGGCCCTCTTTTGGCCCGCGCCCAGCTGCCTCTCAACCCAAGTCCCAAAAGCTGCCCTATGTCCGGCCCAATTGCGGTTTTTTAGCGGCCCAATGCCCTGTAAGTGTCCCAAATGGAGTCCAAACTCCTCCCATGCAGCCCAGAATTGTCCAGCAGCCCCGATTCGAGCTCAATACTATTTTGGAAGGTAAATCGAAGTAATTTTGTCGTGGTGAAGGTATGACGTTCATTTAATTATGGACTCGAGGGATTTTTTTTTTTAAATTGGTGAAATTGGAGTAAATATTTGATATATTCGTGGAAATTATTAGCCTTATACATGGAGTTCATTGGATTATTTGTGTAACATTATTTGACTTATACGTGAAACTTATATGATTTATTCATGGAGATTATTTGACTTATTTGAGGTGACTTGCTCGAGGAGATATTATTTGATTTATTCGTGAATATATTTAATTGGATCGTGGAGATATTATTTGATTTACTCGAGGAGATCATGTGAGTTATTCGAGATATTATTTATTATATTCGTGGAAAGTATTCGAGGAGATTATTTGGTCTATCCGTGAAAATATTTGATTTACTCATGGGAATTAATTGGTGAAAATTGGAGATATTATTTGATTCATATGAAAAAATATTATATGATTTATTCGTGGAGGCTATTTGATTTATCTAAGGAGCATTAGTTGGTTTATCGAGGAGTATTATTTGACTTGTTTGTGGTGTTATTTGATTTGGTCGAGGAGATATTATTTGGAGTATTCGTGTAGAATTATGTGATTTATTCCCTAAGATATTGGATTGGTTCGTGCTGGCATTGGATTCGATTGTGGAATTATTTGATTTTTTCGTGGTGATATCCGACTCAATCGCGTAATTATTTGATTTGCTTGTGGAGATATTGCTTGACTTATTTGTAGAGATATTATTGGATTTATTCGCGGAGAACTTATTTGATGGAAAACAACCGTGGGTTGTGATTTCGAGTTGTAGATATTCCGTGATAATGCTTGATGTGTATTTGGTGCACTTATAAATTTTTATCGGTGAGTACGAGGAGATGGATTAACATTATATGATTTGATATGTTGATATATTCGGAGCCTCTCATTTGGATTTTTAGGTGAAAATGTGGAATTTTGTTCGAATTGATTATTCACAATTTTTAAGCATGTCATTACTCGAGCATATCTTAAATCGAGGAAATAGTGATGATTGTATTTGATCTCTTATTTTTCTTGCGTGGTGAATTACAAAATGGATGACGTGAATATAATATGGATAACGATATCTCTTTGAATTCTTGTCGAGGAAACATCGAAATAACCCGAGTCTTGACAAGCTATGGTGGACAAGTTGTGGAGTTTCGAGGACAAAATGAGCGAGCATGGATCCATCAAAGCAGAGCGATAAGGAGGGATGAGTATGGATGGTGCCGATCGCAGGTGGCAATTTCAGAGGCAGAAATCATTCTCTTTTGGAGAGGTAGGATAATTGGGAGTGGCATTTTCCACCCTCAGGTATAAAATTAATCTCAACTCTTGTCAATGGTCAAGATCGACTGGCACTATTTTGTGACATATGGAGTCTCTTAGCATTCTTTTTCGGGAAAAATGTTCATTGTCTGAATATTTTGGGTGAAATGTCGCTGAAATTGTGGTGTATGTGGATATGTCTGCAATTATTACTTGGGTGACTAACAAAACCTGGCACGACTAAGGCCTTCGGGCTGGCCAGTTTCGAGTCGTCATGACTAAGGAGCTCGGTATTGGGAGTAACTCATTTGAATTTTTGTTTGGTGCATTCGCTTGATGATCGTTTGTAGCTGCAGAGTATGGTTTATTGTAATTGTTTGTTAAATTCATGGTTTTGCGAAATTCTTGTCGACTATACATTTGAATAGGTGTTTATGCGAAATTCTGGTCGACTATACATTTGAATGGGTGTTTATGTGAGTTCATATCGTGGTAAAGAGACTTGCATGTAGATTGTGGTGGTATAAAAGCATATGGACCAATATGATTGCTTTGATTCATTCGTCTTTTGTTATTATTGCTATCGGGATTGCAAATTAGATGATATAGATAAAATGCAACTAATGGAATCTGTTGAATTATTCGAGGAAAATGCATGAGCAGGTGACCTGAATATTAGCTATGGTGAGGAGTGGGAAGCATGGAGCAAACAACAACTCAGGTCGTCGTGTACAGACATGAAAGGGAGGTCGAAAAAATGCTTGATTCTTTTTATTTTTATATCTTGTTCGATATAACTATGCATTGGATGAGACTAACGAAAATGATCAATTACTATTCTTTCTCGTGGTCTTTGGTGTGTTTCCTTGTCGACCTCAGTGCCTGGTTGAAGTGTTCGAGCAGTTCGAAGAAAAAAATCCACCATGACTAAGGCCTCCGGGCTGGGTGGTCACTTGTAACAACCACTCCTTCGAGGGTGGACATGTGTTCGAAGACCAAAATCCACCATGACTAAGGCCTCCGGGCTGGGTGGTCACATGTAACGACCACTCCTTCGAGGGTGGACATGTGTTCGAAGACCAAAATCCACCATGACTAAGGCCTCCGGGCTGGGTGGTCACATGTAACGACCACTCCTTCGAGGGTGGACATGTGTTCGAAGACCAAAATCCACCATGACTAAGGCCTCCGGGCTGGGTGGTCACATGTAGCGACCACTCCTTCGAGGGTGGACATGTGTTCGAAGACCAAAATCCACCTTGATTAAGGCCTCCGGGCTGGGTGGTCGTTCCTAGCGTTGGGACGGTAAAGACACGGATAGCTCGAGCAGACCTCAGTGGCAGGTCGATTATCTTTATTTGATTCTCGGTTTCGTCGAATTTATTTTTCGACTTCAAAAGAAGGGAGATGGAGTTCATTACGTATAGTTCGAGCAGACCTCAGTGGCAGGTCGATTATCTTTATTTGAGTCTTGTTTTCGTCGAATTTATTTTTCGACCTTGGTGCCATGTCGAGGGAGTTCATTCAGAATAGTTCACGAACGTCATTCGGATTTTGAGAGAATATACAACATGCTTGAATTTTGAATTTTGAACTGGGGGGGCGATAGGACGAGGTGGTCTAAGAGAGTTCGAACATGGTGATCGAAATACAACATACATAAGTTCAAATTTCCAAATTCAAGATTTTGGGGAGCGGTCATTCAGTTCTTGTTTTTCGACCTCAGTGGCGGGTCACTCGGTTTTCGACCTCGATGGTCGATCAACTTTCGGTATTCGATCCCAGTGGCGGGTCACTCGGTTTTCGACCTCAGTGGTCGATCAGCTTTCGGTATTCGACCCCAGTGGTGGGTCACTCGGTTTCCGACCTCAGTGGTCGATCAGCTTTCGGTATTCGACCCCAGTGGCGGGTCACTCGGTTTTCGACCTCGGTGGTCGATCAGCTTTCGGTATTCGACCCCAGTGGTGGGTCACTCGGTTTTCGACCTTAGTGGTCGATCAGCTTTCAGTATTCGACCCCAGTGGCGGGTCTTTCAGTTTTTGACCTTAGTGGTCATTCGGTGTTCATTGGGGGTCCCGATGCTCATTTGGAGGTTTGGTGACTATTTGGTGGTCGAGAATTTATTCAAATTATAAGCTCAATGGCAGGTTAACAGAAACAGCCCGAAGAGAAATTTCACTCTTAGATCGAGTCATTCAGACTCGACCAGAGTGGGGGGGACTAAATAATATAGGATATTATACTGGACCGATTTTAATGGATAAAAAGGGAATATATTGAAGAATAAGCCTACATATGGCTAGGGCACGTGGCATGAGGCTATTGGGCAAGCCCAACTTGGGCCATAAGGTACACTCCCCTTATAAAAGGGGGCTAAGGTATCCCATTCACTCACTCTCTCTACATTCATAATTATACTCTTCAGATTTGGAGTGATTCTGACTTGAGCGTCGGAGGCCCGACGCCGGGACCCCTCCCAGCGTTGGGTTCTTGCAGGTCCGGTGGCCGTTCGAGTCGAAGGAGCCCGAGTGAAATCTTATTCACTTCACTTCCGTTGGGGAGTCTTTGTGTGTTTGTAGTGTTGTCTTGTGGAATTTAGGCTATCTTTGGTAGGTCTCCCCTTTCGGTTACTGAACCTGTTGTAATTATGTGTTCTAGTTATAAAATCTATCGTTTCGAAAATAAAAAATAAAAAAAAAATTACGGGCAATCAAACGCACCGTATTACTAAAATTTGGGTAATCTAACCATACCTTACGTTCTTCATTGGTGAAAAATGGAGTGCGCTGTAAAGGGAAGCCGTACGCCGTGCTGCGGCCCTCCCACCAGACGCTGCCACCGTTGCCAAGCCGTCGCCTACTGCTCTCTCGCACACCAGGTTCTTTCTGTTTTTATTAGTGTTTTTTCCCGTGGTTCGTGTGAAAACTTATCATATATTATGCGGTTTGTTCTCGAGCTCTTGCCCAATTCTCGTCTTTTTACCACTGAAAAGGTTTCACACAAAAGTGTGCACAGAAGAGAGTGCGAGAGGTTGGAACAACAGATAAAGCGCATTGATGTGCTGAATAGTTTTCCTTTCACATTCACTCCAGAAATTATTCAGGTGGAAGTGGTTTGCTTATTTATACTTTGTTTTAGGTTTCAGCTGAGGTTTAGTTGAGCTATTTTTTGTTACTGAATAGATTTGAGAGTAGTTACTGTTGATTGTAGGAGACACGATGTTCCTTTTTAACAGGGCACAAAATTCATTGTCTAGGAATGTGGATGTATGAATGTAGTTGTGGAGTCTCAGATATTACTTATGATAATTCAAGGTATTTCACATGTGTCCAAAGTTTGTTCTGTTTTTATTTGAACATGTTTTAAGGCCACCGTTGGTTAATTGGAGAATATCATTTATGCTCACTAATAAGTGACTGCCATTTCTGTGATATCTTTTGCAGGTTGATCACTTGTTGGAATCTTCCGAGCGAGTTATGTCCTTGTAAAGGTACTTTTGTTTCCGATTATATATGAAATACTTATGCCTAATGATGATATCTAAAAGCTAAATGCATCCAGGACCTTCGTCTTCAGTACCTAAATGCCTATGTAGTTGGAAAGAATATTATGAATGGCGGTGCATTCCTCTTAATAGTCCTGCAGCCTTACTTCTTCACTGGGTATGTTATTTGAAATGGCTGCTATTAGCCTGTATGAGATAGTTTGTGTGGATATCTATGTGTTCTATTACTTATAGGCCTCCCAGTTTTTTTATTGTGCTTTGTCTTATCGTAAATAAGTAGATATTGAGCCTGAATCTGGTGGCCTTTTTTCTCTTTTTATTATATATATATATATATATATATATATATATATATATATATATATATATATATATATATATATATATATATATATATATATATATATATATATATATATATATATATATATATATATATATATATATATATATATATATATATATATATATATATATATATATATATATATATATATATATATATATATATATATATATATATATATATATATATATATATATATATATATATATATATATATATATATATATATATATATATATATATATATATATATATATATATATATATATATATATATATATATATATATATATATATATATATATATATATATATATATATATATATATATATATATATATATATATATATATATATATATATATATATATATATATATATATATATATATATATATATATATATATATATATATATATATATATATATATATATATATATATATATATATATATATATATTTCAGCCGCTTACTATATATTGGGCGATTCAGCTTGCAACTCGTGAAAGCTTGCTTCCTCAAATCACTAATGAGCTGCGGATACATTACTTAGGTATCTTGTCTTTGTAGTTGTATTTTAACTGGAATTTTATTCCTTAAATTTCTTTTCTTCTATGTGATTACTGTGTTGTAAAATGTCCGGATGAGGTTATTCAATTAGGTCAGTCACGATAGTTATACAACGTGTTGAGCTAATATGCACTTTGGATTTCATTAAGAAACTTTGAGCTGGTGAACCATTGGTCACAATTATGGAGACTCTTACGAGTTGTCCGTGTATGAGTTTCTTAGAACTTTATATTGGATGAGAAAGTTGTCTCCGCTCACTTTAGGGTTTATTTTTAATGCAAGCTGAAGGGGAACTGTATGAAATTGTTTGACCTTCAGTGTGTTGAGAATTGTAATTGGCTAAACCAATGGAAGTATACTTTGTAATGTGATTAAGTTAATGGTTATTGTTATTATTATTTTCTTAATCTTCTGTTTGGTATTAAAAATCTGAAGTCTCTTGATCTTATTATCTTCTGCGAACAGATACATCATTTTTTTACGCTGTTTTACATCTCTGATCATTGATCACCTTACCCACTGATAAATATGCTTCTGCGTCTCTAACTTGATGCACGAACTACACTCTTGAAGGACCAGAAAAAGAACTTCATCAACTGGCAGTTTTTGGAGAACTCCAAGCTCTTTTTCCTGGAGTAAAAATCCACATAGACCTTATTGGACCTGCTATTCCTCAATTCAGGTTACACCAACAGTACAAGTCCTGACATGAATATGGCTTTCAGTTTTTCTTAAAACATTGTTTTGCAAAGTTTGCTTACTTCACTTGATTCCATCTGTCATTCATCCGAATCATTCCACATTTGCATGCTAGGGATGGTGAAAGAATTGATCTGAATTCCTACATTCAGTGTAACGAGATGGACTGTGGGTGTAAACATCCTGTTGAATATCAGAAAGAGAGGATAATAACAAGTTGCTGTTCATACCCAGTTAAACTACAGCTTCATGCAGGTTTTTATCATGACTGTTACGGAAAATTACTGAAGGTTGTCAAAAGCATTCAGATCCCTGGTAACTCACACGCTGCACATTATTTTGCAAGTTTTGTCATGAGAATTTGGTTCGACTTGCAGGATTCTTTGCCTCATATTATCTTGGCTCCTAATGCTGGTATTGCCGCATACACTAGCTGGGTACCAACTCTTGTGAGTATCTGAAGCCTTTTCAGCTTATGCAAAATTGATGTTTAGCGGTAAATGTCTTATGTCTGTGTTCTTGGCTTGTCACATTTCACGTAGGAAGTAATAAAGCAGATGCATGTTCCTTTAGTTTTATCCGATTACTGTGAGGAAGCTTCTCATCTGGCTGCTTCTTGTATTAGCTCAACCACAGGCACTGCTCTGAAGATTCAGGTGTTTCTCCCCACTAATTATTATTAATTACGAATTCCTCCATTGTGATTTAGCCCGATCATAGTATTCTTGTTATCTTTCAGAATTACTAAATATTGCCACCGACTGAGTAATAACATGCAAACCCATGAAAAAAATTCGTAATGAGTGGGATAACTAAACTTGGAAATGGAACTTGCTATTAGGTCAAATCTCCATCTATTGAAACTTATTCACAACTACTAATGCAATCGTGAAATTTCTGGGGATTGTTATGTCTTTATGCAGATTCAGATAAATCCATTCAGGCAGCCTTTTCGAGTTGAAGAAAGTGCTTTATGTCTTCCATGCTATTCCAATTGCTTTGTCTTTGGGTTTTGAAAATACCGTCTCATATATGTCATTTTGACTCTTGCAATGAGATGTTTGAACGAAGGAAATATGGCTTTTGAGTTGGAAGGGAGATTAGGGACACTTATCAACAAACTACAGCAAAATGCATGCAAATATGAATGTATTATATATGCTCTCTAGCTATGATTTTCTCTTTAAATTTTTCTAGCATGTCTTGTGCTCACTTGAATGCTGGAAGCCTTAACTTGTTAATAAACCCTAGCTAAGAGTTTTTGTTTGCCCAGACAACTAGTGCATCGGCTTACACTAACATCTTAAATGTGATAGTATTCATTGTTAATTTATGAATAGCATTGAAATGAGATATAATGTATGTATATACCAATTGTTCTTACAATCTCTACTCACTTAAAAATTGCTGGAAGTTATTTAGTTACATGTTTCTTTTGCTTCCATTTCTATCACAACCTCAAAATATTTGACACCAATTTATTCCACGATAATGTTATTGCACCACGTTTCAGTATTTCACATTTTTAACAAAAATACATGATCGAAATCTGTATTTTTAGTTTTCACTTGGTAACAATTACATTTTCTTTTAGGTATCATAATAGTGTATTTAAAATAAAGATCAACGATTAGTAGTGCAGGATACAATCAACACTAAGATAATCAGTGCATAAAAAATAAAATAAATCTGTCACGGATGGTACAGTAAATTATCGTGAAGTTGCACAAGGGAGGAAAGGAAGCTCGCCAACAGGTCGAGTTATGGCCCTCGAATGGCATAGTATAAACTCGATCTGGAGGTATATAGGTCGATGTATCGATATGAGGACATAATGCACGAGCACAATAAGTAGACAATCTAGCTCAAGGGGAGCCGAGTTGATCGTATGATTAGGTCGTCTGACAAGGCAAACTCGACGTGCACCTCCACCGGCGACCACCAAATTCCATGGAATCAAAAGGTTTTATATTTTGTTATCCCGACAAATATATATACAACCCCGTAAGTTGTCCGACGACCACCAAACTCGACGTGCACCGCCACTGGCGACCACTGCGGATGAGGTGCACCCCGACGACGAGAGGCGTAGCCACCCGGCTACCCACAGCCTGTGTCCGCGCGACACTGCGCACGACAACGCGATGCCTGCAGCCCCTCGTCTCTCCTCGACGACGCTCGATGATTTTCCTCGGCGATCAACGAGTAGCCCGACGAGACAGACAATCTCCATAAGTGGAAATTTCAGCGTCTCAGAGTTGACAATTTTGATACGTAAGTCCTCAGATGCTATCAATAAATTCTGCTGCAAGAGGGTTAACTTCGTTAAGTTTTTCTAGTTGCACATTGTTGTCAGTATTTTTACCGGAGTAGAATCGAAAGATTCATTCCCCGGGTCGTATCGCAAGGAATGTTAGCCGGATATTCTTATGCCTTTATTCAATCACGAAAAAGAGAAAACAAATTCCTAAACATTCTAGTTCAGTATTTTGGGGTTTTCTATTATCAACTAAGGATACTAAAACTAGATTAAACGCAATTTAAATGGCGAACAAATTCACTAAATGATTAAAGAGCTAGGGAATCGGGGATAATTGCTTTCGGTTCTATCACAATTACCGGTAATCAATTGCTCGGTTAAAGGACTTGAATGGTTTCTCGTTCAGAGGTTCACTCTCAATAACTCCTCGTAACAAGAGAGTCAATGTAAACGATCAACTATCAATTCCAACAACACATAGATAATACGTTTTCGAACAAATCTATTCTAAACGAGCCTAATTCGACCAACGTCTCCCCTTTCGGTTCTACACGTTGATTATCTAGGTTAGAAAGGTGATCAATCTACTTACCCTATAATTCACACAACTCGAATAGACATGAACAATCAAAAGCATTCAATCATTATCGAGCCTAATCAATAATCCCCTATCCCTAGCGAATGGATTTAGCTACTCATATGGAATTCAACATCAAAATTCATACAAACCCAAGCCATCATCATCAATAAAACAATTGAGAAAAATAACTTATGATTAATGATAAGAATCCAATGTCAAATCCAAGTGCATCCAAATCCAAAGCAGAGAAAAGGAGTTTTCAATTTCCAAAATAAATCCAAAGTGCAAAAGTATGAAAAGGAATGAGTTTCTCTAGAGAAAGAACGTAAAAAAAAAGTCTGGAAGTGAATAATAAACCCTAGGATCGAAATCTGCTCTAAAAATTCTGTCCTCGAAATTCGCGCCGGATAAGTCGCGAGTTGCGAGATAGTCTTTCCCTCAGTCGCGAGTCGCGCGTCGTCAAAATGTTAAACTTTTGGGGCTGTTCGCGACAACATCTCGCGAGTCGAGACCTCAACTCGCGAGTCGCGACTCCGTCTCGTGAACTGCACATCAAGCCTCAGTTTTTCCCGCGGGTCGCGAACATGTTCGCGAGTCGCGAGTCGCGAAGTTTTCTGGGAACGCGTTTCTGTCTGTTTTTTCAGTCCTTCCTCGAGTCTTCTGGACTCGGCAACGGGTATTCTCGATATCACAGCCTCGGCTCAAGCAGTCCCAACCTAGACCGGTACAACCTATCTCTTGAAAACACAAAAACAAGGAAAAACACGAAGCAAAACACGGCAAAAAGACGCACAAGAAGAAACTAAGGAGAAAAACACAAAACGAACGAAATGGACCAAATAAACCACAAAAAACCTACAAATGGGGGAAAACAAAAAGAAAATAAACATGACATAAAGACACAAAAATGGGACAAACAACTCCCCCACACTAAGACCTTTGTTCGTCCCGAACAAGAAGAAAAGAAAAGAAAAAAGGAGACACAAAACAAAAGCGAGCCTGGACATCAGTCGATAACAAGATAAGTCTCAACACGTTCAACTTCAACAATGAGCATTCAAATGACACATACGAACATAACACGACTACATGCTTGATCGCTAAACTTTAATATAACGTCCTCTCAATTATGGGAATGTATATGTGTGCCTCACTCACTTTCTTATACAAATAAAGATATGGGTGCACTCAAATTGGTCGACAACAAGTTCAATCATAAGCTTGTCCATTGTCTAACTTCTACTCCAAACCAATCAAAATCGAGACTAGTGAATCAAAAAGTCTTTCAGGGTTGTAACGTAGGCTCTTTGGACATGTAGGATAAATATAGGCTAAGTGGCTTGAATACAACTCAAACTCCTAACCCATGAATGCAAGCTCAACTGGTTACTCAAACAAACCGGATCTTCCCCCACACTTCTCCTAAAAACACACGTTTCGCCCAACGTAATTTGTTGTGCTCTTTTTTTTTTCTTTTTTGTTTTTTTTTTTTTGTCAACCTCTTTGGACATTTACAATCCATTCGGCTACATTTTTTTTTCTGAAACTATAAACAGAACTCCACAATTATCCCCTCTCATTCTCAACCCAAGACTCAACAATGTCATCATCACGAGGTTATATATATAAAAAAACAATTAGGCTCAAAAGGGCAACTAGGGAATAACTGCAGAAAAAACAAGGATAGAAAAATACATAAAAAGAATGCCTTAATCATATTCACAGTTCACAACCTAAATTGATTCATTTCGATGCAGACTCAGGGCAAGTTCTAATTAAACAAGAGCACGACCAATGTATCTCAAGAAAGAAATAAGGCTCAAACCTCACTAGGCAAATATATGAATGTCAATCAAAGCCATTAACCAAGCATTTCATCACGCTATGCCATATAATACCATCATCACAACTCATCGAATTCATTAAAAACGTCTCCACTCATCATGAATTTTCCAAGTACAGACTCCAAAACAAATAAGACCTACGCAAGACCGGTCCACAAGCAAAAGAAAGAAATAAGACACATCCTAAAACAAAAGAAACTAGACCTGGTCAACCAAATAGCCACATAAACCCCCAACACTTAAAATCAGACAATGTCCCCATTGTCGATCCGCAGTGTAAGGAAGGTGTACTACCTAATCAACCGACACGACACAACAAAGAGAAAATACAAAAAAAGAAACATAAGAAAGAGAAAAGAAAAAGAAAAGCTAACCAACACAGTGACAAGTCACTGTGGTCCATGAGGAGGAGGAGGAGGAGGATAGGGTGGGTCGGTGCCGGAGCTCCACTATGCGAACCGCGCGTCCCACTGAGTCTGCCATAACTCAATAGCCTGAAAGTGGGCATTCATGTCCTGCATGTCCCGATCATAGCAGTCCTCGTAAGCCGTCCACCACGGAGGAGGCTGGGACCACCGAGCGGGTGGTGCAGATGGCTCTGCTGGGCGCTGATGCGAACGTGTGGGCCGTGGCTCCCGAGAATCAGCCTCCGGGAAGGCGGAAGGCGATGGTCCTCGTCAATAAGAGCCTGATCGTGCTCTATCGCCTCCGTCTCGTGGGTATCCTCGGTCTCTTGCCGAGGACGAGACGATCCTGCCTGAGCAGCGGAGGCGGCCGCTGCCACCTTCTTTATATAGGTGCTGTAGGCCGGGCGCTTCGTATAGACCTCAAAGGTGAGGCGATCAAGGAGGAGGCCCGCATGACTGAGCTCGTAGTAGTCAAAGAACCGCCATACTAGAAGGAAGGCTGCTAGACGCCGCCGGGTCGACCTTGAAGTGCAAAGCTAAAGCGGTCACTATATGACCAAAGCAGGCCGCCGCTCGCTTGTTCAGAATGATGGCCCAACACTCATCCTTAAAAATATCCAACAGATCACGGCGCTTCCTCCCGAGCATAGCCCACAGCCGGGCGAGGTCAATCTGAGTGACCTTGTTGGCTTCCTTCTTCCCGAACACACCATAGCACAAAAATTTGTGCATCACAGCGACGGCACCGTCCCTGCTGAGGCTATTAGCCATGCCCTGGGAATCCCACACCGTGTCGGGAGAAAGCTGGGGCCAAAAAACTTCTGGGGCTGGTCACGACCTAAGTCACGAGTCGAGACCTCAACTCGCGAGTCGCGACTCCGTCTCGTGAACTGCACATCAAGCCTCAGTTTTTCCCACGGGTCGCGACCCGAGTCGCGAGACGACTCGCAAGTCGCGAAGTTTTCTGGGAACCGTTTCTGTCCGTTTTTTCAGTCCTTCCTTGAGTCTTCTGGGCTCGGCAACGGGTATTCTTGATATCACAGCCTCGGCTCAAGCAGTCCCAACCTCGACCGGCACAACCTATCTCCTGAAAACACAAAAACAAGGAAAAACACGAAGCAAAACACGGCAAAAAGACACACAAGAAGAAACTAAGGAGAAAAACACAAAACGAACGAAATGGACCAAATAAACCACGAAAAACCTACAAATGGGGAAAACACAAAAAAATAAACATGAAATAATGACACAAAAATGGGACGAACACACATGAGT